AAAGCTGTCACTGGGGCAGTACCTTTTCAAAAGGTACATTTTTGTACCTATTACGTTCTAATATGTACACTTTAAGAACTAATATGTACTTTTAAAGTACCAAAATGGACTCTTTAGGTACAAACATGTACCTTTTAAAAAGGTACTGCCACAGTGACAGCTTTTGTCCCTTTATTTCTGAGAGTGTAATATCGACTTTTTCATATAATTTCAAGTATTTATTTAATAATTTAGACTTTTCATGTCCTAACTTCGACTTTATCTTATAATTTTGACTTCAGCTCATAATTGTGAATTTTCATCGAATTATCATACCACTTTCATTTCCTTATTTTGACATTGTATATCATAACTGTGACTTTGTATGTCTTAATTTTGACATATCTCATAATTTTGATTTATGTCATTATCTATGTCATAAATTATGATTTACTAAAGCATGATTTTTTTTGTTCTTATGTGGCGGAAACTGACTTCCATAGATAAGCAGCTTAAACAAAATTCTCAATTTGTTCTCTATAATTATCACTGCAATCTAGGAGAAACAATTGAGATATTAAAGAGATCTCATTTGCAATTTCCCGTTCCTATGGGCTCTCTCACTCAGAGCAAATGAAAGTAGCCCAGAAATCTGAAATGTCATTAACCTTCATTTCAAAAGAGTTTTACGGAACATGCTAAGAAGAGTAGAGGCTTCCTTAATAATCGGAGTTTCTTACATCCCATGTGGTTTAACTCAGTCAATCCGTGACACACATTTCACACAACATTATTCCACTTTCGAAACCAGTTCCACAGAGAGGGGTAAAATTAGAAACCATGTACCATGTTTTCAGATACTTCGATGGCTACCCCTCAAGATTTTGGTGTTAATTAAAATGATAATGAAGAACTGCATTTCACTTGTCAGTAGTCTCTGTGGCACTAATGAATGGAGAACGTCGAGTCATAAATATGCAGACTGTGTCACGCACACTTAATGTGTGCAACAATGCAATTAGGCATTGTTATCATTACAATCAAATGTAAAGACAGTGCCATAAGACCCTGTATATCGTGTATTAAAGTGACGAGTTGTGAGCGTATGGCTGCTGACAGTGCCACTCACTGGAGTGCAATCAAGTGCCTTCTAATTGGTACAGAGCACTCGAAGTCTCCAGGCATAAGCAATCAGAAGCTGAAGTACCAATTGTGCGTCACTGTTTATATACTCAAATATAACTCTGTTAAACTGTAACTATAATTATGAGTGGCATTATAATTAGATATTCAAGGTGGTCACCCCAAGTCATCCATCACTTTCCTGTCTTTATGTATTAATAAGTGCGGTCTAATAACATTTCTCTTTCCATTCATTTTAAGCATACTTGTACGGCTATCAACGGAATAGTAGTGTACTGCATACTAAGCAGTACTGCTGATGTAAAAAAAAAAGACTGTGAGACTTACGCAATTATAAACAGTGTAGTATGTTACATTATTGTGTTGTCACCTGATCTCATTGCAGTGCCAATGTCGAGAAGAGCCATAGGGAACACCGACCCTGGCTACACAGGGCTCATTTCGCTAGCATTTGAGACTAAAAATAGGTGTCTGAACTTTTAAAATGTATTTACAGTAGCTGTTCGTGAATTATGACAATGTCAAAGCCAGCACTCATAGGCATTTTAAAACAAGAGTTCCAGTGCATTTCGGGTCTGTTTATAATTAAACATCCCACATTATGCATAACTTTTTTTTTCCTTGTTATTATCATTATTTTGGTTACACAAACTATATATAAATAAATAAAAATCAGTCAATCAATCAATCTGGTTTTTAATTCAAAGTAAACTTCTGCAGCAAAAAAAATAAAAAATAAAATAAATATTAAAATAAATTAAATAGATAAAAAAAAAAAATTGCATCAAAACAATGAGTGTAATACAGCTTTGAATTGTTGTTGTTGTTTTTCAATACATTAGAAAGTGTCTTGCTTAAATAGTTTTTTTTCTGCGCAAAAAAAAAAATATATATATATATATTAGGGCTTTCAATCGATTACAATTTTTAATCTGATTAATCACATCCTTTTTCTGTGATTAATCGCGATTAATCACACACTTCATGAAATTAAGCATAGACCATTTATCTTGTTTCAACTGTTTATTTTGTCATCATTTGCTATATCCAGCAAAGTAAACCAAAAGATTGAAGGGTGATTCTCAAAAATCTATATTTTCTGCAAGCTTTTTTCAAGATAAATTTAGATGTCTTTCCAAAAAAGGACACTTAGAAACTCCAAAAGGACACCAAATAACCAAATGATATAAGGAGGCCATATAAGCACATATGAAAGAAAAAAAAATCATAATTTTATAGTATGTGTACAGTGCAACAGCAAAGAGTTTTTTTACATTTTAGAGAAGCCAAGTTGCGATACCGAACAGGACCGAACTATTTTATAGTTCTTAAATCTGATTGGTTGAGGACCGTGAGATATTGTACTAGTATCGCCACAGTAACGCCCTTTCACCGTTGTATCACTCCGCTTCCAGTATTTCTCACATCGAGTGTCATGGCGGACACCCAAATCCACTAAAAATTTAAAATAATACAGTTTTTGTGTCACGGAATGTAGTTTTAAGAGTTTTTTTTAGGTGAGAATGTACTTCACTTTTTCAATCAACGCTGTCATTGGAAATCACCCTTAACAGATGAAAGACAGTACGACAAAGATAATGCTTTCCTCAGCGGACATTGAAACGAATGTTGTATTGTGAAGATGAGATTGAGTTTAAGAATGAATGTCGTATCAGATGCAGGTAATCACACTCGCTCAGTCCATCTCTCTCACAATACTCTACTCTACATAATACAGTGAGCTTTTAAATAAGTAATACAATACGTTTTTAATGAAGCATCTCAACGTTCCTTCGTTACTAGCTCTAAAGTGACGTTTTCGAATTAGTAACGGAGGCTTCAGCTCAGCTGTTAAACTGTCAAACATTCTGATATAGAGCCGGCATCGCTCTCGTACTCAAGTGATATTGCTCATATATATATATCATACATTTTTACCATGATTTACAGAAAACAGACACTAAAATGTCATTCAGTGTCTTGTCAGTCAGTTTATGACATATTAAAAGACTAATTAGTTTTACTCCAAATTCTACTTACTTGTAATTTTATATTTTTAAACTTTGCCACTATCCCATTTTGGCCATTTGTCAGCAAGAATTTTTTACTCATTTAAAATGCAATAAAATTTAGTATGCTCCCTCATTCTTTTATACTGTATATTTTAATACGTACAGGTCAGAATAAATATGTTGTTTACATTTTTACATAAATATAAGCATTACATTGAATGACAGTGTAACATTATTTCACCCACATTTTGATATTTTATTCTCCCAAAACTTATTTGAAACCTTAAAAGTAGACACCTTACTTGCATTTAATATGCTTTCTATGTATAAAATCACTTTTGTCAAATCTTTTGATGCGGACATTTAAATGTCTTTGACCCAATTACAACATTAACACAGTTATTTTCCTGTTTATTAACATCGACATTGTCTTGACATTGTGATGAATGAATCTTAAAGTGATAGTTCATGCAATAATCAAAATTCTGTCATCATTTACTCATTGTCAAGTTGTTCCAAACCTGCATGAGTTTCTATTTTCTGTTGAACACGAAAGAATATATTTTGAAGATGTTGGTAACCAAACATTCGAGACTAGCCACTGACGTCCACAGTATGGAAAAAACAAGAAAAACATTCTATGGAAGTCAATGGAGACCAGAAACTGACAGAAACATTGTGTTCAGCAGAAAAAAAGAAATTTATATTGGATTCAATCTTTTTTTTTTTTTTTTAAATCATCAAATTGTTTGTTTACAAACATTCTTCAAAATATCTTTTTTGTAAACATATTAAAGTTTTTCTACTGTATTTTGCTTTAAAAAATGTATGACTACAGTACAGATTATTCATTATATTAACCAGGGGGCTGGAGCCCACTAGGGGGCCTTAATAAACTTATAAGGGAGGCAATATATATATATA